TTTCATATTTGATAAATACATCCTGCTTAGAGGCAGCACTGAAAAAAGAACTGCCCCAGTACTCAACCAAAAAAACCACTAGCTCATCCAGAGGACTTCCCACAACACTGCGGATATGGGCGACATCGTTTTTATCCCAGCTCCTCCTGAGTCCCTGCAACTGCCCGTTGACCTGTCCCTTCCTGCATGTTCTAGGTCTGCCCTCCCATGACTCACCTGTGTGAGAAAATCATCTCCACGCTGCCTTCCTGGAGGAAGCTCAACGGGCCCAACCAGCTGATGTCATTGCAGCAGTTTGTGTACGATGTGCAGGACCAACTGAACCCCCTGGCCAGCGAGGCGGACCTCCGGCACATCGCGCAGCAGCTCCACAGCGTGGGCGAGGTGAGGGCTCGAGCCCTGGCGGGGGTCTGGGAGGGGCCCCCCGGGATGCACTTCTGCTCCCAGTCCCAGTGTCTGCAGCTGGGCTGAGCTGGGAGGCAGAGTGGGAACTGCCCACTGCCCATGATGTCTCCAGACATGTGACTGTCACACGGAGCCTCGGGTGATTTTCTGAACTGCAGTTCTTTGCCCTCCTGTTCACCTTAAGAGCTGTGGTTTTGTTTTGCTTTGGGTTTTGTTTGTTTGTTTGTTTTCCGGCTTCTCTTAGTTCTGGAGCACGTTCTTGCTACTCTGGGTGGCTGGGCCGCTCCTCTGTCTCCCTGGGGCACTTGGTTCTTAGCTGTCATTCCTGTGGCTTCAGGATGTCTGCTCTCCAGGGGGTGTTATCAGCTCCATACAGACCTCTCGGGTTCATGGACGATCGAGAAATGACAGTGACACGTCCTCAGGGAGATGACAGCTAGAGACACAAAGACAGCAAACAGTGTGCCCCAGAAATGGCCAAGAAATAGGAATCTTTGTTCCTAGTGGTGTTACGGTCAGCACTGGGGTGCAGGTTAGGAAGCCTGTTCTAATTGCATCACGCAGGGCCCATCCTTCTAGAAGGGGCGTAGCCTTCACCTTCCTCCATCACGTGAAATCAGGAGACAGTGTAAACTAGTCTGGGCCAAGAAGAACAGTTCTGAAATTTAAAAACCAGAAGCAGTTCTGAAGATTTTGAAAACCAGAAGCTTACCTTCCCAGTCTCAGGTGCCACGTCGGACCCTGTGGTCAGTTTATGTGGATCATATAATCTTGAAATTATCACTGAATCCAGAAGCCAGTGAGTAGGGCCTCAAGGAGTGATTGTGTCAGCTTTGAATTCCAGTGAAACTAAAGCTAATCTACTGGCGCCTTCAGCAGTCCTTTAAATGATTGAATCCAAGGATGGGGACAAGGGAAGGACTGAAGCTTGCATCGTAACATAGTGCTGGATATTTTTAAAAAATAGCCATAGTAATAAAGTCGCTCTTTTTAATACAGTATTCTCTTGCCTTCTGGCATTTGAACAGCAACTTTCTAGATCATAGCCATTAACCCACATTGTTGGCATCACATCCCTCCCTGTTCTTGACACTTCAGTAAGTAGATGAAGGCTTAAATGAAGGCAGAAAAAAAAAGAAGGGGTATCTAAATCAGGTGGCCCCCACTCTGATCAGCTGCCAGCCCCTCCTCCAGTCCTGATTCCTTAGTATCCGATCCAAGGGCCTTACTCACATTCCCTCAGTTGTCCTTCTCGTGCCTTTTCTGGGCTCAGGATCCCACATCGCACCCACCAGCCGTCTCCTTGATCTCCTCCAATACCAGACAGTTTATCAGTCTGTCTTCCGTGATCCTGAGGAGGTAGTTGTGTCTAGGACTGAACAGTAGTCCCCCAAACGCCTGATGAAAACCTAAGTAGATACTGCTCTACCTTACAGACATTTTCAGTCTAAGGCTCAGTTTGGAACAGAATTGGATACAGAGGGCATCTCCAAGATTTAAACCAGACGATGGGGAGGAAAGTCCTTCTGGTGCAAGCAGGTCCAGAGCCTCAGCCTCCACATGAGAGTGGAGTCCACCTTTAAATCACCATGTTTTTGCAGAACTGTTACTAAACAGAAGTTTGTGTGCCCTACGCACAGTGAGGCCAAACTGAAACATCAGAGTTTAGAGCAGAGAGAGGTTTATTGCAGGGCCGAGCAAGGAGGACAGGCGGCTCATGCTCGAAAAACCCCAACTTCCCATGATGTCCAGGAAAAAGGTGTTACAGACAAGTCTGGGCTGGGGCTGCAGCGTGTGTGACTTTCTTCTGATTGGTTGGTGGGCAGGTAACAGGGCGTGTCCCAGGAGTCCTGTGCTCAGCCTGAAGTTGCTGTCCTCCACCTGGATGGGGGCCTCAGTTCCTGCAGAAGAACTCAGAGATATTGTTATGTACACTCCTTGAGGAGGAACCAGGACCCTGCCCCAGGCTGTGCTATTTATTGTTCTTAGCCTTTTTTTTTTAAATATTTTTATTGCAGTATAGTCAGTTTACAATGATGTGCCAAAGTTGCTGTTAGCTGTTCCTCACTTCTCTCTGCCTTCCCTCCCTTCCCTGATTAACAACTGTTTGAATCTGCCCTTTGGAACTCAGGGAAGGTCAAGGAAGCTAGATGAAGCCTATTTCTTACATACGAAATGGGAGACATGGAAAGGACTTGTACCCGGGAGGTACCACGATGTCCTGCCCCGTTTCAGAACTATCCCAGAACCGGGAGGGAAGGAAGGAAGGGCAAGTGTTCCATAAAGGGGAAAGTTGCTTCCATTTTTGGGAGGTCACACTTTTTTCCTCTCCTCGACTTCTGCTTTTTAAAGAAGTGAATGTGCCAGGAAAAGCTAAAGTGCCCTCTGGCCATCACCTCTTGCCAGCTTCCTCTCTCTTCTGTCCAGGGCCGACCTCTGTCATGGTTCTGCGTCCCTGTCTGGATCTTTCCAGACCTTTTTTATATGTACGTGTGTCAAAAGTTGACCTCGCAGTCTAATATCATAACATTCTGAGTCTTTTGCAAAATGTCAAGCCTTCAGAGAAGTTGCAAGAGTGGTTCAATGAATTCTCACACCCTCTTCGTCTCATTTCACCAACTGTTTAAGTTTTGCTACATTTGCTTCTCTCTCTCTTTCCTGTTTATCTATTTGCTTTGAAAACATCATGACTTTATAATTTAGCTTATGTCTCCTAAGGAGAAGGACATTCTCCCACATAACCACAATATAATTAATTAGCACCTCCTGGAAATACAACATTGATATAGTATTATCATTGAATGTATAGTCCTCCTTCAGGTGTTGGCCACTTGTCCCAATTTCTTTCACAGCTATTTTTATTCCTTTATGTGTCTGGGGATTCAGAATCCAGCCAAAAATAACCCATTGCATTTGGCTGCCATCCCTCTCTCGGTCTTTAATTACACTGACCTTTTATAAGAAAAAGAGTCAAAGGTCGTCTTTTTGAGAGTCTCCCTTTTGACATTGCCAAGCTGGTATTTTTGGCTTTATTTTTTTTTAGAGACAAATGATTCATTTAGTAACAAGGAGTAGAAAGGAATTCTTAGTTCCTCTTCCCTCTTCTGATGGCTAAACTGAACTGTGGTGATCAAATTGCAGTACACACAGGAATCCTCTCACGGTCCTTGATCTTTTGCAGAAAAGCAAAGATGCCAGAGTCACAGGACTTGGTGACTGTTGTTTTCTAGACAGAAGTGCTGGGTGCTGTGCTTTCTGATGTGGCAGTGGTCGGGACATTCTCTTTGTCTTCGGGTTTCATGGCAGGAAACAGAAGCGCTTCCTTGATGTTATTGGAGTCTGTGAGAAACATGGCGATGCAGTCGATGCCCGTGCCCCAGCCACCTGTGGGGGGTAACCTGTACTCCAGGGTGGTGCAGGAGGTTTCATCTGTGAACATGGCCTCATCAGCCCCGACAGCTTTGGCCTTGGGCTGTTCATCAAAAAGCTGTTGCTATTGCATGAGGTCATGCAGTTCGGTGTAGGCATTGCATATCTCCTTTTTCATGACAAATAGCTCAAAGTGATGCAGGAAAACGGACGTGGGGCATGAGGGGGGCCGAGTCCCAGGTCTCGGTTGTGCCCTGCCAAGTGTGGGTCCTTGGCTTCGTGCAGGAAAAAATTCAAGTGTGAGCCACCGTTGAGTAAAGGTAGATTTATTTAGAGAGACACACACTGCATAGAGTGTAAGACAAGAGAAAGGCAAGGAAAAAGGTGTGGGAATTGGGTGCTCGGATTAAAGTAAAAGTAGGTACACACTCCATAGACAGTGCGGGCTGTCTCCAAAAGGGGAGAGAGCGTGCCAAGGGCCACTAGGCGTGGTGTTGTCACTTATTATGGTCTCAGTAGCTTAACAAGCCCCACAGGTGGGATCAATCCAACTGCCCTGGGGAAGGAGCTGGGATTCCCAGGGACTGGGCCACCACCCGTCCTTTGGCCTTTTGTGGTCAGCCTTGGGGCTGTCACGGTGCCCACGGGCATGTTATTTGATCACACTGTTACAATGAGCGTATAATGAAGCTCAAGGTCTACTAGAAGTTAAACCTCTTAATCCTTAAGACCCACTAGGAAGTGAATCTTCCACCATTTTGGTGTTAAATTGCTGCCATTCCTTGAGTGGCTGTGCCCTGCCCCCTTCCCTCCTGTCTCAAAAGCATTCAGTTGGACCTCTTTAGAGCATTTGAAGAGGGTTCATTATCTGTGGGTGATCACAGATGAATGTAGGATTGACTCATGTCATTTCCAAGAACTCCCCGACAAGCTTATCAAGGAGCCGGGCTGTGGAATAAGGCGGAGGGCATTCACCAGCTTTTGTTGCACAGATATCATCAAGAATTTTGTGAGTTTCTTCAGTTTCAAAGAGGTTAGTTTCTGGCAGCTCCATCCCCAGGGCTTTCTCAAGCTCTTCTACCACGCTGATTTTCTGGAAGGATGGGGTGAAGTCAGTTTCATCTGCTTGGCCCTCTGGGCCATCTGGATGGTAGGTGACCTTGTAATTGCCTGTAACGTGCTTCACCGTCCTTGAAATCATCTCCGTGATTTCCATGAGATCATGAGTCTGCATAGGCCATGTAGAATTCACATTGTGGGTCAGATCAATTCCTTCATTACGGAACTGGCATCCAACTTCATAAACCCAGTCAACGCCACCAACCACCAGCATTTTATGGCAGAGTTCTGGGGCAGTTTGCATCCAGCTCATTGTGAGAGGTGATAAAAGGATTGGCCACAGCTCCCACAGGGATAATGTTCATCATGGGAGTTTCAATCTTCAGAAATCCCAGCTCGTCCAAGAAACTTCTTATATATGTGATGATCTTAGAGCGGATGATAAATTTCTGCCTCACAAAGTCATTCAGGATCAAGAGCGGATGATAAATTTCTGCCTCACAGAGTCATTCAGGATCAAGTCCAAGTATCTCTGACGGTATCGTGTTTCCTTGTCTTTGAGGCCAAAGTGAAGATGAGGTAACATGTGCAAGCACAGAGACAGCAGTGTGCTCCCATAGGGAATGATGCTCAGTTCACCCTTCTTGGTTTTCCCACGATTGCCCTGAATGCCAATTATGTCTCCCCGGCACAGTTTGTTATTTATACAGATAAATTCTTCTTCTGACTTATAATTTCTGGAATTGGCCATGACTTGCAACTTGACCCCCTCTTCTCGAAGGTCATAGAAAATGAGCTTTCCTACAGAAGCTCTTTTGGCATGGATCCTACCTGCCACCTTTAAGGTGCTGTCAGTCAGGTGGTCCCCAGGCTGCAGGTGAATATATTCTTGAATAAAGTGAGTGAGCGAGATGTCTTTGTGGAATTTGTGTGGGTATGGGTCTTCCCCATTAACCTTCATTTTTTGGACTGCTGGGCTGCGGATCTTGTAGTATTGATTTGGGTCCAGGCTCTCCTCCTCTGTACCCACACCATCGTCAGCAGTGTGGCTGGTGGCAGCAGCAGTGCCCTGGCATAGTCTTTTCTCACTGAGCTCCTTCTGCTTGGCCTCCTTCTCTGCTATTTTCTTCTCAGCTTTCAGGCGTCTCTTTAGCTCATTTTTGCTCAGTTTCAGCTCGCCACTGTCTACTTTAACTTCAGCCACCTGCACTGCAAGAAAAAAATTTAATTGAAGTATAGTTGATTTACAGTGTTGAGTTAGTTTCTGGTGTCAGTATTGATTTGGGAGATCCGTCCACATGAACGTCCTGGGTCATTCCTTACGACGTCTGCAGAGATTTCATTACTGTTCAGGCCCTTTTGGGCTCTGAGCAGCAGTGCATTTGGCTATGTATGTTCCTATGCATGACTTATGTTGTCCCCTCTGGCAGATCAACATCATGCAAAGTGAAACGGTCCAAGACGTGCTGCTCCTGGACCCCCGCTGGCTCTGCACCAACGTTCTGGGGAAGCTGCTCTCCGTGGAGACCCCGCGGGCCCTGCACCATTACCGGGGCCGCTACACCGTGGAGGACGTCCAGCGCCTGGTGCCCGACAGCGACGTGGAGGAGCTGCTGCAGATCCTGGATGCCATGGACATCTGCGCCCGGGACCTGAGCAGCGGGACTATGGTGGACATCCCCGCCCTGATCAAGACCGACAACCTGCACCGCTACTGGACGGACGAAGAGGACGAGGTGCGGGTCTACGGCGGGGTGCGCATCGTCCCCGTGGAGCACCTCACCCCCTTCCCCTGCGGCATCTTTCACAAGGTCCAGGTGAACCTGTGCCGGTGGATCCACCAGCAGAGCGCGGAGGGAGACGCGGACATCCGCCTGTGGGTGAACGGCTGCAAGATCGCCAACCGCGGGGCCGAGCTGCTGGTGCTCCTGGTCAACCACGGCCAGGGCATCGAGGTCCAGGTGCGCGGGCTGGAGACGGAGAAGATCAAGTGCTGCCTCCTGCTGGACTCGGTGTGCAGCACCATCGAGAACGTCATGGCCACCACGCTGCCGGGGCTGCTGACGGTGAAGCATTACCTGAGCCCCCAGCAGCTGAGGGAGCACCACGAGCCCGTCATGGTCTACCAGCCGCGGGACTTCTTCCGGGCGCAGACCCTCAAGGAGACGTCGCTGACTAACACCATGGGCGGCTACAAGGAGAGCTTCAGCAGCATTATGTGCTTCGGCTGTCACGACATCTACTCGCAGGCCAGCCTGGGCATGGACATCCACGCGTCAGATCTCAACCTCCTGACCCGGAGGAAACTCAGTCGCCTGCTGGACCCACCCGATCCCATGGGGAAGGACTGGTGCCTTCTCGCCATGAACTTGGGCCTCCCTGACCTTGTGGCAAAGTACAACACCAATAATGGGGCTCCCAAGGAGTTCCTCCCGAGCCCGGTCCACGCCCTGCTCCGAGAGTGGACCTCCTACCCCGAGAGCACGGTCGGCATCCTCATGTCCAAACTGCGGGAGCTGGGGCGCCGGGACGCGGCCGACTTTCTCCTGAAGGCGTCCTCAGTGTTCAAAATCAACCTCGACGGCAGTGGCCAGGAGGCCTACGCCTCAAGCTGCAACAGTGGCACGTCTTACAATTCCATTAGCTCGGTCGTGTCCCGGTGAGGGCAACCTTTGGCTTGGGCAGGGTCTGCAGAGGCAAGGGGGACACAGCCCATCTTCACCACGGGGGGAGATTCCGGAGCATCCCTTCCTGTGCCCACATCCCGAAGGACACCGCCCTCCGTCCCGCTTCACCTGTTTCTCTGCCACTACCTCCCTCCTCACACATTCTGTTGTGGGTGAATGGTCTTTCTAGTTGAAGAGCAGACCATATCCTTTCCTTTGGCCATTTGAGAAGCTAGCCTCCCTCCGTCTCTCACCCTTTAGTACCTTGCTGCTTACTGATAATTTTACTGGAATTCCTAACTTTTCAATGAATTTTTTTAAACTGTTATATTGATTGTCCTTTAAAAAAAAAAGCGCACATTTATCCAAAATGTGTATTTCTTATACTGTTTTCTTTGTTATACCATGTCCTCAGCTTATCTCTTTTATATTTGTAGGAAAACTCCCACGTAAGGAATCCCACTGTATGATTTATAAACAGACAATATGTGAGTGCCTTTTGCAGAAGAGGGTGTGTTTGAAATCATCCAAGTCAGCCAGGAGCTGTCGTGAAAGAAACGCTCCCTCTCTGTCTCATGCTGTAATGCTGATCATCGCCAGAGGTGCTTCACCCGAGTTTTTTTGTTTTTGTTTTTGTTTCCTTTTCTTCTTCTTCTTCTTT